TGGTAGAGAACCAGCTCTGAGCGCGTCACTCGAGGCTCTGCGAGAGGGGGCTCGGCCTGGTCGGTGAGCGGCGCCGCTGAATGGACGACAGCTCACCATTACACAACATCTGGCTCATTAACATGCATGTCTGCCAACATTAAAAGCCGAGCCTGTTGCGCTTTATTGTATATTTGGATACCGTTGCCTTTCTGAACATGTTTTTTTGTGTGTGTGTTTAAATATTGTAACAGGTATTGTGTGTCTTAAGTTATTTTATAGTGTCATTTATATTGTAGTTATTGATTTGAGTCTGTTGCTCGCGTGAATGAAGTGATCTCATCAGTGCGACGCAGTTTCTGCACTCTCACCAATGCTTTCACCAAATAACAACGCAAACGCGATGTAAATACAGTAAGAGCTTCGTTGTGCAGTGTAACAGCGTCATCGATTTCATAACGAGTGTCCAGATAACTCGCGCTGTGTGATTGACAGCTTGGGCGATTGGAAAGGGATTGTTCTTTGATCGCTTTCTGTATATAATTTAATCACAGTTTAAATAAGATTATTTTCATCCTACTAAGAGAAACGACGTGAAGTTTTATCGTTTAGTCACTGGCTTTATTTACTGATGCATAAACAGTTTTGAGAGATAATCTGTCTGAACTTGAATGATTGTACATCAGTAATCACTGATCACAGAACATTAGAATAAACATGATTTCTAACACAATGTTTGTGGCGTTGCTGGAAGATCCATATCGTGAAAGTGAAAGTGTGTTTGCAAAGCCTGCGCCGAAACTGACCAAATCATCCACAGTGAAATACACCGAATAATCCAACGCCGAGACTTTCACTTTGTGGAAAAACAAAAACACTCTCCGAGCATTAGGATCGTTTGGAAGGTAATGGTATTGATTCTATCATTCCATCCATCCATCCATTGTTCTATCCATCCATCCATCATCCATTCATTGTTCTATCCATCCATCATCCATCCATCCATTCATCCATCCATTGTTCTATCCATCCATCCATCATCCATCCATTGTTCTATCCATCCATCATCCATTCATTGTTCTATCCATCCATCCATCCATCTATTCATCCATCAATTGTTCCATCCATCCATCGATCCATCCATTCATCCATCCATTTATCCATCCATTGTTCTATCCATCCATCCATCATCCATCCATCATCCATCCATCCATCATCCATTCATCCATTCATCCATCCATTGTTCTATCCATCCATCCATCATCCATCCATCCATCATCCATCCATCCATTCATCCATCCATTGTTCTATCCATCCATCCATCCATCCATTATCCATCCATTTATCCATCCATTGTTCTATCCATCCATCATCCATCCATCCATCATCCATCCATCCATCCATCCATTCATCCATCCATTGTTCTATCCATCCATCATCCATCCATCCATCATCCATCCATCCATCCATCCATTCATCCATCCATTGTTCTATCCATCCATCATGCATCATCCATCCATCCATCATCCATCCATTCATCCATCCATTGTTCTATCCATCCATCATCCATCATCCATCCATTGTTCTATCCATCCATCATCCATCCATCCATCCATTCATCCATCCATTGTTCTATCCATCCATCCATCCATCCATCCATTCATCCATCCATTCATCCATCCATCCATCCATCCATTGTTCTATCCATTCATCCATCATCCATCCATCCATCCATCCATCATCCATCCATCATCCATCATCCATCCATCCATCATCCATCCATTGTTCTATCTATCCATCCATCATCCATCCATCCATCCATCCATTGTTCTATCCATCCATCCATCATCCATCCATTGTTCTATCCATCCATCATCCATTCATTGTTCTATCCATCCATCATCCATCCATCCATCCATCCATCCATCTATTCATCCATCAATTGTTCCATCCATCCATCGATCCATCCATTTATCCATCCATTGTTCTATCCATCCATCCATCCATCATCCATCCATCCATCCATCATTCATCCATCCATTCATCCATTCATCCCTCCATTGTTCTATCCATCCATCCATCATCCATCCATCCATCCATCCATCATCCATCCATCCATTCATCCATCCATTGTTCTATCCATCCATCCATCATCCATCCATCCATTATCCATCCATTTATCCATCCATTGTTCTATCCATCCATCCATCATCCATCCATCCATCATCCATCCATCATCCATCCATCCATCCATCCATCCATCCATCCATCATTCATCCATCCATTCATCCATTCATCCATCCATTCTATCTATCCATCATCCATCCATCCATTCATCCATCCATTGTTCTATCCATCCATCATCCATCCATCCATTCATCCATCCATTGTTCTATCCATCCATCCATCATCCATCCATCCATCCATCCATCCATCCATCCATTCATCCATCCATTGTTCCATCCATCCATCATGCATTATCCATCCATCCATCATCCATCCATTCATCCATCCATTGTTC